AACGAGTCATCCGAAGCATTACAAGCTTCAGTGGCTCAATGAGAGCGGTGAGACCAAGGTAAGGAGGCAGGTTCAAATACCTTTCACCATTGGAGGGTGTGTAGATGAAGTCCTTTGCGCTGTTGTCTCAATGCAAGCAGCGCACCTATTATTGGGTAGGCCATGGCAGTTTGACACTCGAGCTCACCATGATGGCTTCACCAACCAGTATTCATTCGAGTTTAAGGGACAAAAGATCCGACTGACACCTCTCACACAGAAGGAGGTGTATGAAGATCAGCTCAGAATAATCAAGTTAGAGAAGCAAAAGGCAACGAAGAGTAGCACTGAGTGATGGATGTGATGCTCTAGGATGATCATACGATATGAGAACTATGTATGATACGATGATTTTAATGGATGAATCCATTGTTTGTTCATTATTTATTTTGCATATTTAATAAATAATGATATCCATGGATCGTTATGAACGATCCTAAACTTCTTAGTCGCTTGTCATTGTGGGAACAATGATGAATTAAGACTAACATGAGGCGTGATGGATGATCATGGTGATGATCATGTGTATTGGATACGGATCACGATCATGAGTGCTTGTTTGGAACAAGTGACTGGATGACTCGCGTGAGATTGTCGATTGGATTTTATCCATGACTTGAATCTCACTTGATGGTTCACTTTGGATCCTCAGACTTGAGATATCTATTGTATCCATCATGACGAGTAATGTACTTTGACTGCGTCAAACGTTGTCTTTAACTGGATGATTATAAAGGTGTAGCTCGGGTACATTAAGAATCATGAAGTGGATAGTAGATAGTCAAGATGGAACTTTGTCCCTCTCGAAAGAGAGATATATCGCTTGGGCCCGTCGTAGGAGTGAGACTGTAGAAATGTGTGGCCCCACTATAGATGAATGTCATTTATCTCTTACAGTCTACTCGGGATACGACAAAGCAATCGAACTATGAGTTCGATTATGATATCGTGAGACAAAGAGGATAATCGTTGGAACTATCTCTGGCTTTTTTGGTTAGACCTGGCAGTGGTATCAGAGCTCGGTTCTTCGTTTTGATGAAGAACGATCACTCTTAAGTACGTTTGAAAATTGTTCAAACTTTGTTTTTCCTTGGTTTTGATCTAAGTTTAAATCTGTTATATAAATGAATCTATGGTAGATTATGTTATGTAACAAGACTTAGATATATAGAGGCATGAATAATGAATTAACACGAGAAAACAGAACGAAAAACGGATTCAAACGGAGTGAAAAATCAGATCAAGTTGAAAAATTTCGTCTGATTTTTCTGCCCAGAATCGCGTGGTCCGGCGGACCAACCAATTGGTCAGCCCCGGACCGAAAGTTCGGACTCAGACAGGACGAGTTCGGCGGACCAAGAAGGAGAAGTTTCAGACCAAACTGTCTTGGTCCGACGGACCAAGTTGTTGGTCCAGCGGACAAAGACATGAATGTTTTGTCCGATGAGAAAATCTTGTCCGAGAGCATTCCAACACGTCTGGTCCGGCGGACCAAGTTTTGGTTAGCTGCAGACCAGACATGTTGGATCAGACAAACCAAGAGTTGGTCCGAGAGAGTGAGCTGCAGACTGTGTGTTTGGTCCGGCGGACCAAAAGTTGGTCAGCCCCGGACCAACACTTCAGTCTGAGCGCACTGGATTCTGGTACGACTGAGAGAAAGAGACAGAGTGGTCTTGGTTTGGAGCTGACCAAAAGTTGGTCAGCCCGGACCAACTCCACTGACTCCGCTTTTCTTTTTCCGGTCCGAGCTGACTCCGAGAACTGAGTTATGGTTTGGTCCGGCAGACCAAGTTTTGGTCAGTCCCCGACCAACCAACTGTTTTCGCATTTTCGCATTTTCTTAATTCAATTCGGTTAAATAATGGTTACTTGACTGAGTTAATCATGATTGTTTTTGGTTTATGGCTTAATTATGTAGAGGGTCTATATGAATTAAGTACATAGAACTTAATCAAGTATAAGAGTTACTTGATTGAGTGGGAGTTTCGGGACTTAGTTTACTAAGTTGAATAGATGGTCTATTTGAGCTAAGTAACGGAGTCGGATCAAAAATATAATTGTTATATTTTGATCAATCGAGAATAGAGCTATTACAAGTAGAGTTCTTGCCAAGACCTTAGTAATTCGTGTATGGGACATGCCAAAACTGTGCATACCGGATTATTTAAGTGAGACAAGAATTGAGAAATGGTGGTTCTCATTTCTCGAAAGTAATAGGCTGCTTCTTGATAACGATAGAATCCCTCGTTATAATTTCAAGATTATACCGCTCATGTTTCGAGCACTTGTCAAGGCTTCGATCGTCTGTGTATGGGTCATGCCAAAGCTGAGCATACCAGACAATCTTTGTGATACAAGATGGAGAAATGGTGATTCTCATATGTTCGAAAATCGTTTGGCTTGAGTTGGGTTATCAAGTTGGACTTCAACCTAATGGTATAGATGGGACTAGAAATATGCAGTAGTATAATGATACTATTTTCCCATAAACGATCTAAGAGTCACATTGGATGTGATTGACATTGGATGTCTACTTAAATAGCATAGGCTTGAGTGTCATGCCAAAGCTGACTCAAGTCTATGTGAAATATGGATCTTAGCCT